GCACGTTAGTGCTGCTTTAGTGGCATTTCATTGTGCCAGGTTTTATCTATGGCAATAACTTTTATTATTTCCATATAAATACACAATACTGCAGGACTTAAGGACCTGTTGTAGCTTCTGAGCTGTATGTGAATTTTGGAGACCCCGGTGTACTTTGCATTAGCCAAAATCACGTAGCCAGTCAACTGAAACAGCGCATGGAAACAGCCTCAAACTCTGTCATTAGTCACGTTAAGCAGATTTTGTACCCCCCGGGCACTGCAGGCAGGTGGAGATTTACACTTCCTTCATTTGCACTGAAAGTCAAGCAGTCCAACCAAATCAGGATTATTTACTAAGTTGGAACCGAATCAGGATTATTTTCCAATACGTTTCACTGATGGGCTGGAGAACAGACTCAGTGGTACTAGCTGCTTTGGGAAACTCTTCTGGGCATCCCCACTTGGCTTTGGTGATTCGCGTTTGGTTGAACGTGGGAGGAGACAGGAGAACTGTGCATGGAGGCCCTGGCTCTCCGTGGGCTGAGCCGCCGTCCCCGCGATGCCTTTCTTGCTTTTACCACAGGCTCAGGGACGTTCCTACTCCTGCCAGTCAGCAGTAAAACCCACTACAGTATCAGTGTCACGTTTTTTTTTTTTAATCTTCATCCCTATAAAATCCTATCTGATCAAGAGAGAAGTGTGTGGGGGGGAAATCTATTTAAATATAGTTACTATCTGGAGGGGAAAATAGCAATAATTTATGTCTCCTTTGTAAAGCTGAAATCTATAGGGTGTCTTTTTAAAAGGTGTTTCTTTGGGATTTAACAGATGTTTCAATTAATACCTAGTGATCTGTAACATCACAGCTAAAAACTGAGCAGCAAGCATCTCCAGGGCCCTTATAAATGTCACTGCCTATCCCAGCTACGCAGCCTGTGAACTTCCTTTCAGGCGACCTCGGGGTGGGATTCAGCATGTGGATGAAGACACCTCCATTTCAGTGGGTGTGTGTAGGTGTCTATGTACCGCCTACATGTCAGAGACCCCGTTGTGGTCGGGGTTGGTTCTGAGGGTTGGTTCAGTTGCCCACTCGCCGGCATCTCCTACATTCAGAGAGGTGTCCTACTTCTTTTTCTGAAGAGTGAAGGCCCTGGTGGGTGCTGGCTTATCTGCCCACCCCTTGTGGATGTCTTGAACCCACAACACAAAAACCATCTCAAATGGCACCACATGGCTATATTTAAGCACCTTTTTGAGCCCTCGTTGACTGTAGTGGCAGTCCAGTCTCCTACCCCCCATGTAGACACCTCCATTTAGGGTTTTCAAGCTGCAAGCTGAATCCCACCCCCAGGTTCCCCATGTGTTGTATAATGAAAGCAGAAGAGGGCTGCTCACACTGAATTTTACCCCACAGCCTGCTTTATTCACTACTCAAAAGCACCTTTTATCTTCTTCGTTCCTATTTCTTGCAAGTTACCGAACTGCTGCGGTTCAAACTTTAAGGAACCTATCCCTTTGCCAGGCAAAGAAGGAAACAAAATGCAATATACTGAAGGTACCCCCTCCCCCCTAAAAATTCGTAAGAGCTCTGTACACTTACAGCAAAAGGCAAAGCTGGTTCAGCACTGACTCTCAGCGTTTTTCCGCGCTCAGCTTGCAAATGCAGCCAGAATCCAAAGCCTGTTGGAGACGATGTCTCTTCCACCGTTACTCTGCTGTAGCCAAATTTAGCTCATAATTCAGGTGAATGCAGTCTTTTTTTTTTTCTTTTCTTTTTTTTGTTTTCCCCCAGGCTCTTTCCCCTTATGGGCCCTTAGACATTTGTCAGGGGAGGTGCAAACCCCATTAGAAAGTTCACCCCATTTGTGGCTCTGTGGGTCGCCTTGCACAGCCCCCAGGAGTGCTGCGCACAGATTAGAGCCCACTGCCCTGGCAGATGTGCCCTCTTGCAAGGGAGGAGTGAATGGGTTTCTCCCAAGAAGCGTTATGTCGTTCACGCACTCCCCTGTCGTGTCTGCATCCATCTCTGCTTATCTCTCATTTTCACCCTTTGGTTCTCAATGATAATTATCTTCCCCCCCCCCCCCCATAGAAGCAGGTTCGCTTTCTGCTTGGAATAATCAAAGATGGGGAAAGCGCTGCTGCTGAGACGGTTCCCAGCTTCACATGGCACTGAAAGGAGGCCAAAAATATTACGTGAAGAATTACTGACGTGCTCCAGTGTTGGCTGCCGGGCTGCTTGCATTTTTGGGGGCGTGACATTAAACACAGCTGCAGAGCTGGGTGAGCCTTTGCTGTGCCGCACGCTTAATTCCATTGCTGCAATGATTTCTTTCAAAGGAGGGGTTTTTTTTGTTTTGTTTTTACTTCTCTTTTTCCTTACTCACTGTCACGTATTGCCCAGTTTCCCCTTTTCTTTCTTTTTTTTTTCTTTTTTTCCTCCAAATAGCAATACCTGAGATGGCCCAGTTGTGGAGCTTGCACAATTTCCACGTGCCAAGCTTTCTCCGCCTCCTGTAGCCAGGGCTTTGCAGCTGGGGCGAGGGCGCTGCGTTCGGGCGCAGGAATTCTTGCTGCCTCATCCCCTCCGTGCAGTTTCTTTCACCGCACCGCTTTGGGCAAAATTAACCTTTGTGCCTCCTTGCCTGGCCCTCTCTTCCCTCCCCCTGGGAGGTCATATGTGTTTTATCAAACAGCATGTCAGCAGCTTATCTTTGGCCTGTTTGCCTACAATACAGATGAGGCAAGGTTTGTCAAGAGAAATAACAGCTTATATCAGAACGGTAGCAATTGCTCTGAGTTTAACCTGAAGGTATTTTGTCAACGGGATGGTTTGAGAGAAAAGCATGCTGGTTGGAGCGATTTATTTATTTTTTATTTTTATTTTTATTTTTTTTTTATTTTTTACAAAACCATCGCTACCGCCAATGGTCCTTCAGTCCTACCGAATCGGACACCTACAAATACCTCCAAAAGCCAAGCCCACAATTCAGCGTTCATAGTTCTGCTGGCTATTAAAACCCTCGGACTCAGTGAAGCTGTTGCTTTTACGACCCGCTGCGATTTTCCGCGCATCTCGCCACCTGCTAGCTTCTGCTGTCGCATAGGTGATAGTTCTCAGCCGCCCCTGCAGCCCCACGAGGGCTGACGGTGGTCTTACCAGCTTCTCCCTGGCTAAGAGATTCGTAGCCTGAAGTTGCTTGGTTTTGCTTTAGAGACAAGCTTCAAAAGCTTCTTTTTTTTTTTTCCAGTTTTATTAGTCAGGCCTTTAAAAATTGCTCTCTCCCATATAGCACTAGATGATCATGGCTACAATAAGTCTCTGGGCTATCACAAGGCTTCTATCACATTTATATTTACCTTCAACTTCTTAAAGTCCCCCCCCCGCCCCGTTATTTTTTTTTTTATTTTTTTTTGGCCATGCTCCTTTGGAAGGCTGTTGCCAGAATTAAATTTATGGTTAAACTGTGCAGGTCAAGCCCCTGATTTTTTTTGTAGGTGGAAAGGAAATTAGCAATTGGAACTCATTGCTTTTGGTCCACCTCACGTGAGTCTCACAATTGTCTTAAGGGAACAATAAGCTGCTGGAAAAAATCATGTTTAAACCTAGCTGTAAAGCTGAAGCTTTGGTCATTTGCTCAGGTTTTTTACTATGTATTATTGTTACAAGGAGAGAAGACAAAACCAGTACTTACTGCAGCGGCACCAGAAACTCTAAATTCACTTGTGGGGTAGAGGGCAGTTGGGTAGAGGACTGGTGGACTAGGTCTGTAAAGCCAGGAAGTGTCGTGTACTCAACAGCGATGTATTAACTCTTTGCAACAACAGATGCAGAAGGGAAAATAACCCAAGCAGCTGTGGCAAGCTGAGAGGTTGGGGGCCAGCAGGGGGAAGCAGACAAGGAGATGGTGGAAGATGTCTGGGTGACAAAGCGGGGACCTGGGAGAAGGGATGAGGAGGGTTATCGTGTAGTGGGGAAGGGCAGCTGCAAGCACTGGGCGAGAGAAGCAAGGAGGCAGTGGCCATGACTTCTAGCTACAAAAGGTCTAGGAGGACTTCAGGTGGCTCAGCCAAGGAGCGGTCCCTGGCCCTGGCTTTGGGCAGCTGGTACATCTCCTAGGCCTTGTGCGTGCTGTGTCCTTGTGGGGTCCTAGACACAGAGCATCAATATCTCCAGCAAAACATGGGATTGCTTTGCCATAGCAAAAGCTGCTCAAACCTCCACGAATGCTGCTCCATAAATATCTTGGCCTGCTTTCTGGCCCAGGGCTAGCCTGAAAATCTGCGTGCTGTTGTACTGCATGCTGGAGATGAATCTTTTGTGCAAGTTGATCGCAGGGTCTGTTGATCTCACTTGGATCCCTGCTGTCCAGAAACATCCTAGAGCTGTAGCATTGCTAGGGACAGCCGGTGCTGGCAACTCTGAGAGGCCTAGGTGCAACGTTGTCTCTTCTTGCACTGCTTTTTTCCAGTCTAGTTTTCCTCTGCCTATTGCCCTAATAATATTTATCTCCTCCTGTGCCTCTCTTGGAGATCTGACAGAATTTATTATTGCACAATTAAGTAATACTAATAATTAAATAGCAACTGTATCTTTGATGCAGACTTGCTTTCTTCCCCACTATGGGACTGCTGAAGAGTCATTAGGTACTAAAATGCCTGGCAGGTTAGTGCCTCTCTGCTTCGTAATTATTTCTTCCCTGCCCATTTACCACTAAAGTTTCTGGGCTGTCAACTCTGGAAACAGATATTAAATATGTATTGCAGCCCTGGGAGGAGAGCCCAACCAGCCAGGGTACAGTACAACTAAAAATAAATGCTTATTTCCCTTGTAAAGTAGCCTGGGGAGAGATACAGGCAAGGAACAACGTCCACTGCGGTAACCATGAGTAGGAGATAGAGCAATAATTTCAGCTGCATGTAAGGAGAAGGAGCAGCAGGTCAGGTATAGGATGAGACTGAGAAGCTCTTAACTAAGTTCCAGACTCTGTAAATGGACTTTCTGCTAAGGGTGGTCAAATGCCTAGGACCAGGGTCAATCACTTTCGAGGCTGCAAACCTGTAAAGGTGGCATCAGGTGCGCTGTGTGCTCCAGAGCTGGGGGGGTTTGAGTGGACCATTGCATCAAAAAGTGAGCTCTCACAGGCTATTCACACTGTATGCCGGCACTCCTCCTCAAGGCAAAAAAAAACTTTGAGTCAAAACCAACTTTTACCTAGGAGTGGGGGGTCACAGCAGTACAGATCTACCACTGGAACGGGCTGGAGAAGCGTTGCAGAGGGATGGGTGTGCTCTGGGGCATTGGGAGTCCTCAGAAGCCTGTGAATGTGGGAACGGGAAGATGGATGAACTTGGAGACAAGCTTGGAGTGTTTTCAGCTTTGAGACTGATGAGAGTAGGAGGTGGAGAGAGGTGATCTCCGGAAGCTGCCAGTCTGTCTGGAGATGGATAGGATCTCTCTAGGGTTTCATGCAGCCCCCCTAACTTGCAGCTTCACTGATTCTCTGTTGAGATGGCTGCACTAATGGCAACCTGGCAAACCAATGGCAAACTTTTCCTTGGTCTCTTTTTTTGAAGGTGCTTGTTTGCATGTGCGCTTGCAGACATGTTGCAGGACTTTTTTCCTGTTGCAGGAAGGTTGAAGCGAACTGGAGGGCTTTGCTCTGCGTGTGACAAGGGTCACTGTTCTCTGCCACTGTTGCCCCTTGCTTTGAGGGATTCATCCAGCGTGGACTCTGGCCGCCTTGTACTAGTCAACGGTGTCATCATTCAGGTTGTTTTGGGGGTGGGGAGGGAGAAGTTATTTGTAGAAGAGTAGAGATAGAGAAAAGTTTTCATCAGAATAATGACCCTGGCTACGCACTCAATGTTCCTGTGCGTTGACAATCCCAACGCAGAGTATCACAGAGATGAGCTGTTTCTTGTAAATCTTATGGTTTTTGCGGAGGGGAGGGGGACGCAGTCTTTTTCATTTCTTCCAGATCAGTGAGAGAGACCCTCTCCCAGATCTTTCACATCATACTAAAATTTCAGCCGTGAGCTTAGAAAAGGTGCTCCTCTCCAGAGGAGTATGTGATTAACCTTCTCCAGCACTGCCTGCACAGGGACATGAGCTGCTTACGACAGGTGGGCAGGAACTGGGTCGATAAGGGGAAGAGAAGTTTAAAATCAATGTTGTACACCAATTCTGAGACCTGTAATGGGGAAACAATTATACCTCTGCACTGCTCACCCGCTGAGTGGCTGCAGCTGACCTCTGGGTATAGGGCATGTGGTTACTCTGAAATGAGATTTAATGAAGTTTGAGGCTAAGATGTAAAAGAGCTTGACTGACCACTGCACACTAGACCTTGCTGACCATTTCCCTTCCACATGTCTTTTCCTTAATAAAATCTAGCCTTTTAGTTAAGGGAGATTTTGGGGAAGATGTTTCTTTGCATGCAAAGTTACAGAGGGGAGGGATTTATCCTTGGGGGTTTTCATTTCTTGATTAATTGGAGAGGTGGAAACATTGGAGTATTTTTTTTTCCTCTTTTCTTTTTCATCAAGAAATTTAAAAACTTCGTAAGTGCTGAATTATTTTTCTTGGCAGAGGGGAGTTTTTCTTTAACGTTCCTTTTCATGCCAGGAAATTGCCAGAACATGCTAAAGTCTCACCTTTAAATGATATCGCAACCATTTGTAGGAGAGAGGGAAATATCACTTTCCTAATTTACAGGTTGGAAGACTGACGCATACAGAGAGGAGATAATGACCTGTACTTAAGATCATGGGTTGGATACTATTAGTGGAACAGTTTCAGTTTTGAAAGCCATTCAGTCAGAACTGTTAGTTAGAAGCATATTCAGTCGTAGAGTTTGGGGACCTCTGACTCACTTCAACAGCAGCAGTTTTAATTGGGGAAGAAAATTTCCAGCCTTGAAAAATAATATTAGACTAGATCTAGATTTTAAAGGTATTTAAGCACCTAACAGAAAGCCCTGGCCAAGGGGGTCATGGTTTTGGTGCCGCCTATTGATTGTTAGTGCATACTCCCAAATTATGGTTTCCCTGCCAGAGGGTGGCATTTAAATGACGTGGCTAAAACTGACACATCTGAGGGTCAGGAGTGAGAAGAACGAAACTGCATTTTCTTTGTTATGTGGGAGACATTCAGAGAATAATGTATCTGTTCCCTGGTTAGTTTGAGAAATGATCATTTCAGCCTCTGGGATCCAGCCCCTTGTGGATGCAGTGCTCTTACTGGAACAAAAAATAGAATAACTTCTCCAAATGAGGCAGTATCCAATCTCCTTTCTGTTAGTTGGGAAAATCCTGCTGACAACCCTATTCTGAGAGAAAATCCTGTAGGATTGTTACAGACAACATGGGTTGAAGACCTCAATTTTAGCATCTGCCTCAATGTCCCTTTCCGTAGCAGGAACTGGCACTGAAAACAAAAGGATAAAAGCATGCAGACACTTGGCTGCATATTCATTCAGACCTAGGAATTTAATGAAAACTTGTGCTGGAGAAAATCCTTCCCTGCAGTTACCATCCTCAGGCAGAATAAATCAGCTTAGCTTCGGTGATGTTAACGTTGCTGTGCTGCGCCATCTGAGGATCTGACTCTGAGCTTAATGCTCATGGAAATTGTTGTGGGAGCAACCCTGGAAAGCTGAAACCCCGTGCGTCAAAGTAACACAAGCAAGAGCAGTGTTCCCCATGGCGTGGAGGCTGGGACCTGTAATGCATGGTTCTTGCGGGAACATCTCAGGCTGGGTAGGTAGCATAGCCCATGTGACCCACCCTTGCCCATGTCATGGCCCTTGAGCTCTGCCTTTGTTGGCACCATCAGGAGAGTCCTCAAGCAAAATAGCTTCATTCTAGCAACAAGTCGGGGTGACAGTGCATGTGAAAAATGAGGTCCTTAAGCATTGCATTGGGACGCTGTGGCATATTTGCTAGAAGTGGGTCAGATGAATGGTTTCAACCTTTGTCCTGACAGCTCTTTTGAGACAATGGGAAACCTTTCAGTGGTCCATGAAGATACTTAACAGCACAGTCAGGGAGTTGACATTAAATATATGGAAGTTATGTGCTTCCACTGGGAATTTTTTAGGAGTCAGCAAATGGAAACAAGAGCAAACTCCACCAGGTTGGGCCAGAGCGAGGGAGCTGACTTTAAGTAGATCTTTTTGTACAGGCCCTATAGGTCCTATGTGACTTCTTGTGATTGTAAATGGAGTGAGGGGAGCTCCTGTGGGGTAGTCTCCAAAGGGTTACATCATGGTTTAACCAGAGAGACTTTGCTGCAGAGCCTGGCTGGAGAACGAGCAACAGGATGCCAGAGGTTTGCATGTTTCCTTTGTAATCAGTTAAGTGTTGTCACTCTGATAAGCAAAGTATGATTTTAATTAAGAAGCCATTCCATCTGGATTTAATGTTTATGTCAAATTACTGTGGATAAAAAAAGTAAAAAGATGGTCTTCTCATTCCAAAGAGTTTTAATTCACTGTGGTTTGGATCGCAAGTCAGGGTCGTTCTCCTACTCTTTGTGGGAAGCGTTGGGATTTTTTTTTCCCCACACCTCATTAGCAGAAGGATCAATAAGAAACCCGCATATTCTTTTGCAGAGTGGACAATTCTTCATGGTTGTACATAGCAGCTCTCTGAAGATCTGCGAGTTGAGTCCATATTAAATGCAGGTGCATACAGACAGAGTTTGCAGCCAGTTTCAGTCCCAGTGGGACTGTATTGTGAAGGTGCTACTTACTATTGTTCCAGCCTCTGGAAGGAGTGATCTCGTTGTTGATGCCAGCAAAAAAACTAAGGGAATCCAGCTTGTTGTATAAGCTTTTGGGTTCTATAGGAGTCTCACGGATGGAAAGAGGAAGAAATAATCTCTCCTCTTGCATTTTTGGGGTAGAGAAACAGTTGAGGCGACTTGTTAGGAATCTGGAAGCATATATCAAAACCTCTTTCCAGGCTTGAGTAGACAACTTTTTCTGATCAACCTTGCAATAAATAATATTTGGCTGTTCAGACTGGGGAGTCGTTAAGGCCTGACACCAGCCATTGCATTCTAGTGAAATGATGCAGAAATTGGCATGCATTAATTATGCTATCCCAGAGGGCTCCTGCACTTGGGGAGCTGCCACTGTCCTCCATTTCCTTTTAAACAATGGCTTTTCAGAGAAGAGCCTTCTATTTTGAGGTAATGCAGGTACTCTGATGCTGAGGAAAGCATTTAATTTTTCTTTTTATCCTTTTCCTGTGTTGCATTTAATTTTGTAAAGACTGGACCTAGTACTAGGCTAAGAGTCTGAGGGACATTTAGCGATGTTTGAAAGAAAGTGGTTGTTCACCTAGGAGCAAATAATGAAGTTATTCTGTTCACTCATATTGCTCAGTCTTATCTGGCCAGGCCATTAGGCTGTTGCATGAGGTGATACTGTCGCCTAACTCTAGTAACAGCTGTCTGATAGCAGCTCTTATCATTCAGGGTATGAATGACACATCTTTCTCAGAAGCCAATATACCTTCACATCTATCAAGGGAAAAAGAGGGCTGGACCAGAAATGCATCAAGGTCATCATTAGAAAGATGATCGAGAACTCCCAAGGATCTCACAGGTGTGTGTGTATATATATATTTATTTCATTTATTCCCCCGTAGAGGTATTTTCAGTCCAATAGTAATTGCTTCCCTCTCATTAAAAAGGAAAACAACACAATTATAGTCCAGAGTGTTGCTGTAAAGAAGCGGTTAGGCTGTCCTCGGAGAAAGCACAGAGCTGGCTAATCAGACACCTGATTTCCATCCCATGCATCATGGGGCAGGATCCTTGGGTTTCGTTTTCCTAAAGCACTTTGCAAGTCTCAGCTTTGGTTGTTTAGCTGGATGGGCCTGCTTGGAGTACGCAACAGTGGATGGCTCCTTGCCCAGGCTGGGAAAGTTGTGGAAAGTTGTGGAGCTCTTTCCTCACCTGCAGTTTTGTGAGTGTGTGAAGCCCAGCAATTAGAAGTGGCAATAAATGTAACTGTGACCGCTGAAGTAGTAGGCTTTATATTAAAATATACGCATGGTAATAAGGTACTGAGATTTGATTCTAGGTATTGTTGCTTATTCTCTGCCTTTCCCACTGCTGTGCCTTCTGTGTGACTCTCTTGATCATCAGCCTAATTATTTCGAAATCAAAAGAAAATAAAAGCCACATTTCCACGCTTAGACAAGCCACTTGCTAAGCCTGTAACGGGTGCACAAGGCACAGTCATATCTCAGTACCAGCTTTGCTGTGATTTAAGAGCAGTTCAGCTTTGTTCTATGTCATAACGCCATAAATTCCCATCTACAAATAGCAGTCTTTGGTAATGTATGCAGGGCTGGGAATGGGATGTTCTTGACTGAAAGCAACCCCTTGGGGCAGGACATCCCGCTGAAGAAATTAACAGGAAGAAGCAGATGATGGTGAACACAATCTGTCACTGCGGTGGGTGAGCAAGGGCTAAGTGTCTCTGAATGCTGAACAGGACATCCTGCTTTTCTAGCTGGTAGGCAATGGAGCTGGGAAGAGCCCCTTGAGGCATTCTGTCCTTCTCAAACGTGATGCCTGTTGTTTCCGCTTCCTTGTTTGGGAACGTTTCCCTAGATGGAGCAACCTCTGCCATGGCAGTATGATCTTGTGCTGCTGAGATGCGTTTTGGCTCTGACCACCCATAGTTGAGCCTGGGGGAGAAGGTTACGTTCTTCATTGACAATGTAAAGGAATTGGATTGTGAAATCCCAGAGCTG